GCCTGCTCCTATGGCAGCAAACAGCACGGTGGAGATCCAGACGCTGGGGATGCAGCCCTATCCGCCCATGGAGGTAAGGCCAGGGGCTGTCCCGGGCGCTCCGTCCTCCGGGGCCTCTTCTAACGAGCGAGGCTGCTTGGGAGTCGCCTGGACTGGAAATGCAGAATTTGAGTCTGGGAAGATGTGTTAGGTTATTTGACAATGATTATGTCCTCTGGGAGAAGGTACTGAGCAGAAGGATGTCGGCAGCATGACAGGGATTCTGAGAACAAGAGAAATCGTTTGTAGAGGGTCGGAGGGCTTGGCTGGCACGGACTTAGACCTGAATGTCTGCTGTGGTTCAGGCATACCTACAGGTGTTGGGAGTGAGAGGGAGTGAGGCGAGGGGTCTTGCCTCCCAGAGGGGTGCAGAGCAGCACCCTGCACCCTGCAGGCTTAAATGGAGAGAAAATATCTGAATATCAATAAGCAACCTTGACAAGGCAGCTTCTAAAGAGACACAAGCAGGGGTGGATTTACTGGTGGGTCAGCTGTTCGCATCCTCCACATCAGCGTTGCTGTTCACAACGGAAACTACTGGGTGTAACAGAGGTTTGTCGGCCTTATCTTTGTAGCTGGCATCTGAGTGGAAGTGTCAATGGTCAGAAAGGACAGGGATGTTGGATACTTAGTGCTCTGTGTTAATTTGTCAGGGTGGGCAACAGAAATGCCCTTCAACCCCAAGCTGATGCCTTTGTCTTTTTCTCTCAGCGTCCTTGGTGCTGACGTAAATGACTGTGCTTTGCCACCTGGAGTTTTCTTGTGCTTTCCTTCCCTTCTGCAGCCCTGCTGGGGCAGGCAGCAGGGCCTGGAGATCCCTGCCTTCAGGGGTGAACCCGCAGGGTCAGTGGTGATTGTTCTGGTAACCGGCTCCAGAGGGATGAGAAACTCTTCTAGGCACAGGACATAGATGAGGGATTAGATGGCTCCTTCATAGTGTTTCTTTGCTGTCCTGTTCCTGCTGTAATAACTCCTGGATACTTTGTGATGTTCAGCGAGAGAGTTTCACGCTGTGCAGGGTGTTAGTTTTAGTTAGAGACGCACTGTTGGACTGGTGAACCAGCTATTCAATCCAGTTCAGAAGTAGGCAGAAAAGTCAGCCAGACTAATAGCCTGGTGTGGCAAGTTTTGCTGGAGATGGAGGTTAGGGCCCGGTATCACTCTGTGTAGCAAACCTGTTTCCTCTGATAAATTGCACTCTTGCAGGTACCAAGCCAGTGTGTGGAAAGTCCTGTGTACCCTTCTCCTCCTGTGTACAGCCCTGGGAAGCAGGGGTTCAAGTCCAAGACCACCAGCGCTCCCGCTCCTTTGACCGGCGCAGGAGGAGGCGGTGTGGTTGGCTTTGATTCCACCTCCGCTGCCAAAAGTCGGCGCTGCAAAAACGAGAGCGGGCTGCAGGAAGGTAAGCATCCTTAGAGCATTTGCCCTGCGCTAACCTGTAGGCCAGCGTGCTTATCCCGTAGTGGACTGTTGAGCCACGGGCTCTGCGGGTGCAGTGGGGTGGCACTGGCTGTGCATGCAGCTCTGGAGGAGGAACACGATGCCCCGCACAAAGCTATCGAGAGCGGGTGAGAGTGTGGACGTGTCTGTCACCTCTGAGCGCACGTGAAAGGACTTACTGTGATACTGCGTGGGCAAGCTTGTGCTAAATCTCTGCAGCTACGTGCTTATTGGATCACACCTGAAATGGGGAGATCCTGCAAAGTAAGGTGTTAGAGCTTGGTCCGTTTTAACCCAAGGAAGACTGCCCAGCTGCAAGGCCAGTGGGCTAGATGTGGCCTGGCCCTGAAGACTCTCTTCTCAAGGGCCCAGCTGACCTGTCCCTGCCGTGTGTTTCAGTGCCTGTGAAGAAAACACGCCTGTGCCCAGGTGAGGCAGGACAGGGGCTGCCCCATTGCAGGATGGAGGAGCGTCAGATCCTGATGCTCCTGGCTGAGCCTGCCCGTTGCTGGTGCGAGGCAAGCACACCTAGCTGAGTGACAAAGGAGGTCCCAGGCGCGAGGTGGAGGAAAGCCACGTGGCCTTCCACCCCAGGAAGGTTGGGCCTCTGGAATTAAACCACACAGATGCCAGGGTTTAACATTATTTGCAGAGGTGTGAATGATCATGCAGGCTGCAGCTCTCAGTCCAGAATTTCCTAGAGCAGCCCACAGTTCTGCTGTTTTCCATTGGTTTATACCCCATCGTAGTAGATAGATGTGACTGATCTTCTGGATGAGAGAAATATGCATGTGCTCTGGCTGATGGCTGACCTTGGTGAGTTCACAGGAGAGAGACAGAACTGGGGCCCTTCCTCGCACTAATCCTGTGTCTTCTCCCAGTGCCCAATACAACTTTAAAGTAGGTGCTTTGTAGCACAGCTGGAAGGGTCCCTGGAGCGGTTAATGCCTGAAGGGGGTGCCCTGCCCCTTCCGCTGCTACTCTCCTCAGTACTTCTCGAGTTAGCTCAGGCTACGTTAAATACGTGTTCGTGCCCATAACCTCTCCCCAGTCTGGCCAGGCAGATCTTATCCTTTCATAAGCCCTTTATTCTTGGTCCTGAACAGACATGTCTTGGGGTGAGGGCCCTGTGGCGCAGCGGGGGACAGGGCTGTGCCACGTGATCTCATTCCTGTGTGCGCTCTTGCTCTTTCAGGCAAACCCAAGTCCCCCAAGCTGAAATGCACTTACTGTGACAAGGCCTTTACCAAGAACTTCGACCTGCAGCAGCACATCAGAAGGTAACGGTGCCACCAGCCCAGACACAGCAGAGTGGCCAGGGTGGAGATGGGCACAGCCCCACTGAGGGAGTCTGTGCAGTCCGGTAGACCTTGCCTTTGTCATGTCCCAGAATCTGTGCTGCACTGGGCGGTGATCCTTCATCCCCCTTCCTCCAGGACACCTTCTCCCCAGTGGCTGGGGTGAAGGTTGCATCATGGATGTAATCTTCTTGCTGTTTATGGGCTGGGACTGGAGACTTGTTTTCCTCGCTGATGAGACCTTGAAAGCCAAACCTGTTGTCACCTGATCACTGGAGCAGCAGCATCTCCACTGCTTGCTTCTGCCCTTTCCTCTTCTCTCCCCCCCTCACAAGCTGCAGCCTGCTAGTTTGTAAACAGCAAACGCTGTTTGCTAGTGTTAGCAAACCCTAAGCCAAGCTCAGTGTCTATACAGGGAGCTCTTCTCTGGCAGGAGGCAGTTGAAGTCTTCAGAGTTTCCCCCAACGGAGTCTGCTGGACTCAGGACAGATGAGAAGGAACAAGTGGCGGTTTCACCCCCCTTCTCAGCTTGTACTCTCCACATGACATACTCTGTGTGTTAGAATCCGCTCTTTCTCCTGCAGCAGAAGGGCAGGGTAGAAAGACCTTTCTGCTGTGGACAGGGGAGAGCAAATTCAGGGAGATCAGGGCACTGCAAGCTAGAAGAGACATGTGCAGGGGAGGGAGGTGTGATGGGGAAGAAAAGGGTTGTACACCTGAGAAAGTGATGGGGTCCCTGAGGTCCATGTGGAGACCTCTGATGTTGCAGAAGTCTCTTCCTCTCCCACTTCTTCCTCTGATCCCTTGTCATCCCAGATTGTCAGTGTTTTGTCTGTGTGCCAGGCTTGTTTCCCCAGGCCTCTCACAATCCGTTTTCTCTAGTTAATCAGGTCTCAAAGCCCTTGTTTGGCTGGTCCAGGTGCTGATCCGCCAAGCAGAGTGCTTAGTGCAGTTCTGCAGCAGCCACCCCACCGCAGTCCGTGCCTAGGGGCTGCCGCCTGCTGATGCGGTGCCTTCTGCCTTCAGTCACACAGGCGAGAAGCCCTTCCAGTGCATCGTGTGTGGCCGAGCCTTTGCCCAGAAGTCCAATGTGAAGAAGCACATGCAGACCCACAAAGTGTGGCCTCCAGGGCTGGGGTGCACCATCTCCCGCAACTCCATCACGGTGCAGGTCATGGCCTTGAACCCCAACCAGCCGGAGGACGAGGAGAACGCAGGTTTGCTGCTTGGGGATGGCGCATGCTAGGGGCAGAGCAGTGATGTGAGGAGTCTGCACGTCCCTGCACCTCCACGCAGGGAGGGAGGGGAGACAGGAGCTGTGTGTGCTGTTCGCATTCCTCCTGTGGGGCTTAGCAGCACACACGAGAGATATGAGCCACATTTGCTGGATTCAC